TGAAAAATAGGAAACATCATGATGATTAACTAGTGTGTACTCCATCTTCAAACAAACCCAATTGGACAGGCTTGACTTCAAGGAAAATTATTGATACACAATGATAAAGATCATTGTGTTTATCAGCTCTGTTCAGTAATGTTTCACCAATCCATCACAAAACATGTACCCTCCAGTTCTCAAACATGGAGAGAATAGAACACTTGCCCATTGATCGATGATATTCCCATCTAGAAACCTCCATTTATAGGGTGATTTCCCCACATTTTCCATGGTCTTCCCATTAAAACCTTCATTTTGGGGGATTTCCCATGGTTCATCATAACAAAGACCCCCTGCCGCTTCGCCTCCCAGAAATGGGCATTTGACCTTGGTGCCAGGAAGCCAGGCGCCATCAGGCGCCTGGGGGCATCACAACGTGTTGGAAAGTGCAACCAAAGTCACAGAGTGTATGCATTCCTTGGCTCGAGAAACTCGAGAATTCAAGACATTCAATTCAATGAAGGTGCAAACAACACGCAGTGAGCTCGCTTCCAAAGTAGATTGAGAGTGCTGACTTGGGAGTTTCATGGAGATTCTGATGTGTTTTTCCCCACCTGCCAGGTGAGGGTTGTTAGATTTTATGTCAGTTGCCTCCTCCTTCTCCTCCTCCTCCGCCTCCTCCTGCCTCGTCCTCCTCTCCTCCTCCTCCTCCTCCTCTCGTTGTCCTCCTCGTCCTCCTGCTCAACTGCGACTCGCGATCCACAGTGTTCGCTGTCGGACCTCAACCACGACCATCCACGCCCAGTGTTCCCTGCCGGACCTCAACCGCGGCCATCCACGCCCAGCGTTCCCTGCCGGACCTCAACCGCGACCATCCACGCCCAGTGTTCCCTGCCGGACCTCAACCACGACCATCCATGCCCAGTGTTCCCTGCCGGACCTCAACCACGACCATCCACGCCCAGTGTTCCCTGCCGGACCTCAACCACGACCATAGAATGTCAGAAAGAATGTCAGAAAGAATGCCAGATAGAATGCCAGAAAGAATGCCAGATAAAATGTCAGATAGAATGCCAGATAGAATGCCAGATAGAATGCCAGATAGAATGCCAGATAGAATGCCAGAAAGAATGCCAGATAGAATGTCAGATAGAATGCCAGATAGAATGCCAGATAGAATGCCAGAAAGAATGCCAGATAGAATGCCAGATAGAATGCCAGATAGAATGACAAATAGAATGCCAGATAGAATGCCAGATAGAATGCCAGAAAGAATGCCAGATAGAATGCCAGAAAGAATGCCAGATAGAATGCCAGAATATATGTCAGAAAGAATGCCAGATAGAATGCCAGAAAGAATGCCAGATAGAATGCCAGAAAGAATGACAAATAGAATGCCAGATAGAATGCCAGATAGAATGCCAGATAGAATGCCAGAACATATGTCAGATAGAATGCCAGATAGAATGTCAGATAGAATGCTAGATAGAATGCCAGATAGAATGCCAGATAGAATGCCAGATAGAATGCCAAGTGGAATGTCAGAATATATGTCAGATAGATTGCCAGATAGAATGCCAGAATATATGTCAGATAGAATGTCAGAATATATTCAAGATTTGTCCAAATATACGTCCTGACATGTCCTGACATGTCATGGTGGGGATCACACGAAGTAAAGTAATTTTCTGGAAACATCCAGATCCAGATGGACTGCTGACCGCTGACCCTTCGGCGCACTGTTGCACCTTTGAGGATCTAAGTTTCTGGATGTGTCATGTTTTTCCATCATGCTACAAACACATTGTACAACTACCCCTATTACTAGCCATCAGTGAGCCATCATTGTCATGAAGTCTGGTAGATTTATATCCCCATTTTGTATTGGCTAAGATCCCGGTTATTCTAGTGGATGCCTGGATAAAATATCAGATGCATCCGCAGTTTTGAACATTACCCTCTGGTAATTTAACATAGCTATGGAAAATCACCATTTATGGTGGATTTACCCATTAAACATGGTGATTTTCCATAGTTATGTTAGTTTACCAGAGGGTAATTGCCGATTCAAAGTCGCACTATGCTACTATAGCACAAACATCAACCAGCAGGCGATGTTTGATACCCTGAATTCCATGGCATGCCATGAACCTGAATTCCACCATTATTTGAAGGCCTCCATGTATGGATTTGCCCATCCATGTAATGTTGGTGGTTATCTCCATGTTTACACACATATTGTATTCTTGGTCATATCAGTACATATCTACATACATAAACCAGTGTGTAATTGTGTATATATATCTATACAGCCTATACATTTAATATCATTTAATGTACCTTATAATATCCCAGACCATGGAATTATATATATTATATTATTACATATTTATGCACGCATATCCCACATATCCATGAATGATATCCCACATGGCCTCACCATTTTTGGGTTGGTTGAATCCTCATCTTAACCCATGGCGCCGAAAAACTGCAGCCCAGCGACACCATCTTTTCCACTGCTTCATCATCCAGTGCCAAGCCTTGTTGATGGATGGTGCCACGCAACAAGCGCGCCATGAAGTACAGCTCCTGACCTGACGAAACATGCAAAAATGCTGGATGTAACTGATTTGCTGATAGTCAATGGAGTGATTTACATCCACCATGTTTGATGATTTGGATGTAACTAATAGATACTACTGTAATAGATACTAATAGTATGAATGGATGTAACTAATCTCCGGACAAGCTCCACGTGGAGATCTTACCAAGAATCAATTGGAACTAGCGGTTTACTAATGATCAATGGATTGATTTCATGGAAAACAATGCCAAAAACCCATTGTTTTTTTACGCATATATGGATTTGCATAAAAAAAGTCCCTTCGACCAAAACTTGAAATACATCATTTTTTTCCCAATCGCAGAAGCAGGTTTGCTTTAGATGTTCAATGATTATTCCTTCAGTTAATTCTGGATCCAGAAATGTCGCCGGCAGGTTACCAGCAGAACAAACCGGTCCAAATTCCAGAGGAATCCATCTGGGTAAAATATGGGGGATCCGGGATCCCCAGTTGTCACCATAAGTTCTAATACGATTAATATGATCTAATGACTGGATTCGGGGCTACCATGACCCCAAGGCCCCAAGGAAACCTCTGAATTTCCATACATCCTTTGGTCCTTTGGTTGATGTTTGAACATATCATTCTATCTTGGTTTGGAAAAAAAACACTTCGTGTAATCCCCTCCCTGGATTCCCAAAAAAGATTCCATCATGGGATGAAATCACTGGAGATATCATGGGATAGTCAATATCAACAATGAAATCTCCACATGGATGAATATCATACCTGTATAAATAAATGGAGTACACACACATTTATATATATAGAGTCTATTATATAGTGCATGTATATATATATATATATATCATATATGTTTATATATCATATACATATACACATATGTATATATATCTATGTGTGAATATCATCTATATCTCCCACTCTCCCCACGGCCCCTGTCTATCTCCACCTTCGTTGCTCCGTTCCGTCTTCAGCCGTTGCTCCGCCGCTTGGAGCGCCGCATCCAGGGTGGGCAGCTGCTGCAGCAGACGGCCGCTCTCGAAAAGCTCCTGCTGAACAGCCAAGACATGGGCATTTTACTGCAGGAAATGTCAATTTTACCTGGAAAAATCATGGTGATATGGTGATATAATGGTGATTTTTACATGATTTGACTAGGAGTAAATCATGGCAAATGGTGATATAATGCAGTAAATGGTGATATAATGACAATAAATGGAGATATGATTTGACATGCAAATGATTTGACTAGGAGAAATCATGCAAATGGTGATATCATGACAATAAACCAGATAAATGGAGATTTCACCTGGAAAAATCATGGTATGATATGTTCCCAGATATGAACATTTTGCCAGGAAGAAATTGAGATTTAACTAGGGAAAATTGTGATACAATGACAATCAATTGAGATTCAATCACGGAAACATCATGAACAATGGGGAAGACATGGAGATTTAAATTTTGAACACAACATCTGATTTGAGCAACACAAAAATGATCCTTTGAACTCACGAAGAAAAATGCTGGAGGGCTCAAGCAACAAAGAATTCAAGATGGATAGGAATGGATGGAAATAAATGGAAATGAATGGAAACGGGATACAATATCGACTAAGCCACAAACCTGGTGACGCACCCAAACAATCGTTTCACCAACAAAAATGAGGATTGGCAAGCATTTTCTGGCTCCGTTTTACGATGAACACGAATTAAAACGGGCTCGCTTGCCCAGGAACAGGATGCGTGTTTTAACATGCTTTCACCACCTATGGACCATAGGGTTTTGAATCAAACCAACATGAGATGTTTACTTGAGACATGTGGAGGTTCACCGAACCAAGATTACAGTAAGCGACCAAGAAAAGAGAATGTTGCCCACGGTCATGGGTCTACAATTGATATATATATATAGTAATATATATATAATATAATATATATATATACATATGAATAATAATGGCTATAATCGAGTGGATAAGAGGGATAGTCCCAGTCACCAGGCATTTATTCACGGGGGTATACAAAGGTGATTGGACACTGGTGATTGTGTGCTTCATACAAGAGGATTCTTGACAAAAGCAGAGATTTCTAATACGATCCGCCGCCATGGATTGATGAAACACCATTGTTTTCTGACGACATCTGCTACAAACCATAGCAAGCTATCAAAGTCTGGTATGGGTGTATCTGAAAATGGGGTATGCCTCCAAAATGGTTCCCTTTTTATGGGTAAGATCATGATCAACCAAAGGATTTTATGAGGTACACAAACTTTTCCTACAAACCCAGCACTGTGCCGTGGTCTTTTCACATATGGAAAACATTTTGTTTCTGGTCATCCATCAGTGGGAATAATTATATTTGGCATACAAATCCATATTATATGAGCTATGGTCAATACTCTTAATAGGGGCTAGTCATCCAATGGTTCAAGGGATTTATAATAACCATTATAAGGATCCTTATTATGGATGGGATGACCATCAACCATATAGTGAGTACTGGCCATGGCTCATATAATGGATTGATGACCGATGACCGTCCAAGGACTGGCAATCCATCGCTGCTACATCAGCTGGCTACATCGCTGCGTCACATCAGTTGCTAGTCGCGTCCCGCTGCTCCTTCGCCGTGGCCTCCAGCTCAGCCAAGGAGGTCCGGATTCGGCTGAGCCTGGCGATAGAGGAACTGTCACCTGATCTTCAAACGATTTGGACTTATATTATATGTATATACATATATTAAAGATAGTGTATATATATATATTGTATAAAAATGATGTATGATATTGTATGTCTATCTACATCTATCGATAAATCCGCCTACCCGTCTATCCAACTGTCTACCTACATACATTTGTTGTACACATATACATAAATACATGTATATATATATATATACATACATATACAGTGAATGGCAGTATCTATATAATAAACAACACATACGTATGTAGATATATATATATATACATAATACATATACAGTGAATGTCAGTATCATCATAAGAATAGACATACGTATGTACATATATATTTATATGTTATATCCATACATAGACACATACATACGTATATGATTGTCGATCAAAAGCCACTCACTCAAAAACGGCAGTTATTCGCGACATATATGCTATCAATTGCTATCATATGTTATATAGGTGGGGATACATAAGAATGTCTTTTCCTATGGGGACATGATGAGCCTCCAGGCAATTTGAGACCCGGAAACCAAAATGAACTCTATGTTTAGATTTCAGCTCTGCAATGTGTATAGTTTATGTGCGAAAGCCTCCAAAATCATCCAAAATCAAGGGTTCAGTGGTATGTAATGAGTAATGACCAACAAGATGAAATTTCATCTCGTTTCACTACGGTTCAAAGTCTAAGTGAAACCATGACGATATTCACCAACAAACATTGGGACTACTGAGTGATTCCTGTGAACACAGTTGTTTACGAAGAAGACTTCATAAAGAAACGTGGACGTTGCCTTAGTTTCCTGCGACAAAGTACTGCTTTCTCGCAGGACATCATCAATTCTTCCATCACGGTGGCTAATTATTAACGCTAAATCAAGTACATTCTCTTAGAATCACCAGGATTATCACCAAGGTTTAACGAGCCTCATCGAGCCTCCCGTTTTGGCAACTTCTATCCCAATCCCCCAGCAACTCCGCACCTCACATCATCGCCACAAACACCAAGCAGCAGCAGCAGCAGCAGAGAAAGCCGCATGCGCCGCATGGCAGCGAACTGTGCTGGTCATTTCAGAGCCTGTGAAGTCATGTAGTTTATGCTGTTTCAGCGTGTGCATGCAGTGCGTGTTGCTGACCAAGAGGAAATGTGTGTAACATGTGCGTGTGTGTGTGTGTGTGTCTTTTCATCACATCCTTGATAAAGACTTGGACTTACACTATATGGAGGTGTCTTAAGTCATGGGGGTGCCCCAAAATCATCCAATTCTTTTTATTATCAATGGGAAACCTGGTTTGAGGTACCCATATTTCAGGATACCTCCATATGTCCAATGTTGAAGTCCAGTAATCTTGAGCCATACCCGATTGATCTTCCAAGTTCAAAGACAAATCAAGGCTGCTTGATCTGCCAGCAATCCACGTAATATGGGTTTGGCCAAACATGGGGAATGTCCTTAATTTTGTCAATAAAGACTTGCGAAACTGATGATAAGCCATTTAAAGCTAGGGGCAGGTCATTTTCAGACAAACCCAAATTGGGGATTCCCATGCGTCCTGTGACGTCCGGGTCACTGGATCTCCAGATCACATTTCCTAATCTGTCTCTCAGTCATGGCATAGCTGTGACTTCTTCTCCATGTTTTTCCATGTTTACACATTCTATTATGTTGCCTCCTTATAACGCACCAAAACCTCATCATTTCATTACCCATAGGATCCATGTATGCTATATATGGTAACATTTACCATCAATATACCCCCAATGTTAGCATGTATACCATACATGGAGCATATGGGTTAGGATCCATCATTTTCGTAGATAGACACTGTTTCACCTCCAGCCATCCCAACGAAACGCGAAGGCAGAGATCCCGTGCCTTCCCAGCGCGAAGCATGCCTTGCGGATCTGAAGAGTCAGAAAGCTCTAGGCATCTGCACCTTCTACACATGGCTATTGGTCAAAACCCTGGCACCTAGTGAACCCCAAAATAGCTGGTAAATGGATGTTCATCCCATTAGAATTGATAATAATAGGTTTTGACCCACCCACACATGTGTATCAGCATGATTGGAACTACATTGCCAAGTCAAACAGCTACCAAGGGTTGCATGCCAACATCTCTGATTGGTAACCACGAACATCTGCACCGCGCATGCGATAGAGCTCCGTTGTCAGGTCCTCTGTCTGTGGGTCATACTTTTTGGGTGCCACCAAAAGAGAATAGTTCATTTTCGAAATGTTGACCCCCATACATAATTTGGCTCTATGCTACCTTCATTCTATAATTTCGACTGACTGCCATCCTTTCTGTTATATATGTCCATGTTTGTTGGCAAAAAAACATATAACAGACCTCCCATTTCATCCCATTATGTTTAACCTACGGCCCCAGAAATGAACAAATCCACCTCTATCCACCAGGGTCGAAATGGGGCAGCTGTTTATGATTAGCTGGAAGGACTAACTTGTTCTTAACCATCATGGCTAATCTGACATACATACCCTGCAAAAAATCTGTCTTTACAATGTTAGATACTGTTTATGAAGTATATGGATATGACTATTATTCATATCATTGCTGTTCACCATTCTTCTAGATTATCACAAAAAAAAGACGAAAAACACTATGTTCGTTGCTTTTAATAGCCATGTTTCATGGTTAAAGTCATGTCAATTCCTCTATGTATCTAGGTTTACCCAGCGTATCACGGCCCTGTTTCTCTCGCCTTTCCAAAAAGGGCGAGGAAGGACCCTGTGTGACGTGGTCACCTTGGGTCGGTATCCCAATGGCACGACGAAGACTGAATGGGATCTATTGACTATAGATATATATATATATAGTATGATATTGGTCCATTGAAGCAAGGCTAATTATCTAATTGAATTGCAATGAACAGTGACATAGGAACAGCAACAGTGATTTTTCACCGCTGGTAATCTGGTGAATCTCCTTTGGATTCCAAAGTTTGACCAAAGACTCTGCCAGCAGTGGGTCCCCAGCTGGTGGTCATCTCTGCCTGCAGAGATCCAAGCATCGACACCAAGACAACACATGGCAGGAAAGTACAAAACACCCAGGATGATCAACCTGGGGATTGTGATTTTAGTGTGATATAGTGTGATTATAAAATGGGATTATATCATATCAGTTTCCTGGGATTGAAACATGGTTGTTGAGACTGGTAAGCAACCCATCATCAAATTCTTCACCACAAACGAAGCACGGGAGCAAAAGTCACACAAGGAATGTTTGTTGGATGGCTAATCTGGAATACCACGCAAAAACATATTGCTAAAAAGAACTGGGTTAGTACATGTTAGTACTATATATTACTATATTATATTCCACCTATTACAAAAGATTCAAGTAGTGTAGTAAACTACCCAAGGATTCCCCCGTGCTCCATTTACGGCATCTGGTTACTGAGGACATCCGGGTGGCCATGACCCCAACACGCCTTGATGGGAGAGTCACCTGCCGACATAGTTTGCCGTTTCCCGTTAAACCGGGCTACGCAGGGCCTATATTCAAATGTATACTCAAATTTGGAGAGATTTTTGGGTATAGATTATAGATACTCAAATTGTTTGGATATAGATAGTCATTTTGGATACTGCATGTTTCGGGAACCTCATTCTGGTCTCACGGCCTGAAAAATGAGCTGAATAAACCCGGAAGATAGATACAAGGACTAGTATGAAATGTATCATTAATATATTCCTGGGAAAAAAGTAAAAAGGAAGGTATTATTCTATAGATATATTCTATATATTCATAAGGTACTGTAAATCATATACACGTTAAAACTGAAAATGAAGATCAACATGAAAAGTTGCAAGCGATGAATCCCACAACGGAATATCCAGCCAGACTTCGTTAGTTTCACCACAGATATACATCCTCAAAACAGAAGTCAGCTGTATTTCTTGGAGTGCAAAATCATACAATCAAACAAAAACATCAAAAAAAATGGATCCTATCAAACAAACAAAGGTTTGGTTCAGTTTCAAGTCACATTCTTGTTGGGTCAAATCCTCAAATTTATTGATGGTAAAATCCTCCATTTGAAGCCATCAAGCCGATGTTGAAACAACCAATCTGAATATCAAGGCTCCGTACCAGGAACGCAAAATTTTGATTCTCGGTGGCTCATCATCCAATTTGTTTGCCAAAACAACACCAACAAAGTGGTTGTTTGGCCCAAATGCTGTTAATCCATGTTGACCAATAATAACCCCCAATTCTTGAGATTATTGGAAAACCAGCAGAAAGAGTAAACGTATATAGAGTTGTTGCGTTGAAAGGAAACACAACACACCCTTTGACAATGGACTCAATCTGAATTCTTGCGATTCGAGATCTTATAAAGCTATCCACTAAATATTGACCGATTTTTTTGCATGGAAGGTCTGCACCCTAACGTTCACTTAATTGGATTTCTCCAGAGTTTGGGGATATACCCCAATAGTCCATTGCCATTGTATGGCCAATAAATCCTGGGGAGTTTCAGCTGCAGATTATCTTGTCAGAAGGCATCCGGATATGTGGTGACGCACTACCAGGCTTCCAGGCAGTAAGAAATAGGGCAAGAATTGGTCTTTATTAGTATTATATCAATATCATGTTCTCAATATCTAATGTATATATATATATATGCATGCTGACAATGATATGGACATAAAATAACAAAAAAAAACATTACATAATGCTCCAAACTTGGTCATATATATATATTATTATATTTATTATACTATATAAATTATATTATATATATTCTAAAATATAAATTTTATATATATTATATCATATCATATCATATCATATTATATCATATCATATTATATTATGTTATATTATATAATATTATATCAAATTATATTAAATTATATTATATTGTATTATATTAAATTATATTATATTAAATATATTGATATATCAATATATACATATATATATATATATTAACATATTATATCAATATCAATATATATATATATTTACATATTATATCAATATATATATATTAATATATATATAATATCCAGATTTCAATCTTATTTATGATATATAATTTCATGATGCCATTCATATCAGCAGCACCTTTCAGCGCGAGGATGAATGGATCCCTGGAACTGGCGCCACTGGCCCCACTTCCACCTGGACGTAGCCAGATGGAGAAATGGATGAACAATTGCCATGGCTTAACGGTGATGAATGATGATTTAATGGCTATTTATGGATATTAATGGCTTATAATGGCTGAATGGTAATTGTTAGCTTAATGGTGATGAATGGCTTCATGGTAACTATAAAACTGTTGGTGTATGTTGGTGGAATGGTGACTTGAGCATTAAACATTGGAATTATATAAATACCAGCCAGCTGTCAAATTGTGATAACTGGGCAGTTGTCAAAGCTTTGATGGGTCTAATTCTAAGTGGTGACATTAGCTATGCAGTTACGACCATGAAATAGAAAATCTAATTAACACATTAAGAATAGATACGCTGCCACTATCCTTTACTTACATCATTAATCAGATTACATCACTAATATTCACCAATTACATTGATGTATGTAGCCATTGAGAATTTCTATGAGCTCATGGTCACAAGTTTGGGTTGGACCACATAACTTGGATCACTTGGGGCATCGACAGGTATCAGTCTGAGGTTACCACGAGGTTTGTCTCAAATTAGGGCACAGGTACTTGTAAAGCTCGTTGCTCATCATTACGGCTTTTCAGTACAGTATACCTCATTTTAGACACACTCATCTGAATCCTGATTTTTTCAAGGATTTGGTCGATTACGATCGAACAAGCAGCAGCAAATTCTCGGGTTTCACGAATCAAGCGCCAGCAACAGCAGTAAAGGTCTTGCATAAACAAACAATTTCAGGTTCACCTGCTCTAAAGTTGGTTCCTCCATCGCGGGAATGTAGCTGATAGGTTCTATTGGGCAAACGCGCCTTCTGGCAACGTGACAGGCCAGTCAAACGAATCTGGCCAATGTCAAAGATCGTACCACAGAAACATGAACAAAAGTCTGATTTCCATCTTCCAGCACTATCCGCTCGGGTCTAACAAAGGTGGTTTTGAATTTCATTTTCTCAAAATTCTCAATGATTTGATGACCATATCAGGATATCGACAAACACCCACACTCATCAACTCCATCCGTTCCCCTGTGCCGAACCTGTGGGGCTCTGGGCGCGACTCCTGGTGAAAAATTCCGCTGTCGTTTTGAAAATTCACCAACGATTACCAAAGCCTTGCAGTTGACGTTGTCTGTTTTCCGATGACTTCATCAGTGACTTCGCAGATGGTACTGCAAACAACAACAATATTCTCAATATTACTCAATAGTTCCCTGGTGTTTCGGACTAAGTTGTAGTTGTAATCTATTTGTTTGACGTACCATGTTTGGTATCCCATTGAGATCCTTGCCTCACAGCTCTAGTGGTTGAACATATAATCACAAAATTTACATAGTAGTCTTAGTAGTTCCTTTAAAATGGACCCAAAGTGGCCATTTCCATGAGAAAATGCGATTAACTTCAGTAGGAATACTGTGGTAAGTTCAATATTGATAAACCATGTCACTTTTTGCCATACATGGACAGTAATAACCCACGAAAATTAAAGGTTTGTGGCATTGGGTTTACCACGTTACCAGGGATTCCATTGTTGCCAGGGATTCCCTTGTTAAAAGGGATTCCCATCAATGGAATTTTAATGATCTCCAGTAAACCAGGTAACAATATTCCCCGAACTAATCATTAACCAGCCATCATCTATCTACCATATCCTCATAATTCCTCATCTATTTGACTGTTAACCCGCAATGAATCATGCTGATACCCCCAATCAATTACCAATCAACAGCGCTTAAGTGGATTTAGGGAGACTTGGTGATATATACCCATCACAGAAACAATAATACATGTACTATCATGTATATATATATGTGTATTAGATTTATTATACTATCCAAATTTGTAGGGCTTAAAGTCCCATGATGGCACCCAAGTCCCCACATCCATTGCCCCCTCTGCTCCTGGATGGCGAGGAGCCAGCCTCGTAGTCGGAGGAATAGATGCTGTCGTCGTCCACCTGGCGGGTCCCGCGCTTAAAAGATTGGTAACATGTCATATATATATATATGGTTTCTGCTTTTTTGTCAGATAAAACATGTTGTTTTTGGTGTGTTGTTGAAATTTTAGTTCA